TCGCTGGGAAACATTCGCACTATACTAGCACATGCAGCTAGCGGTTGCGGTAGACATTGATGTATTCCAGACTGCCGGCACAGTATCTCATCGCCGAAGCACGGCGAGCTGATGAAAGGAGGAAGGTTGAGATCGGAGATCAGCATTGCAGGATACTTCCGCATGCTTCCCAGCATCATTTTTGAAGTAAGCAAGGCTTCTGCAGTTTTGTGTTTACGCGGCCGAAGCAAGTGGTCGATATCGACTAGCATACCGAGCTCAAAATTTGCCCTAATCGAGATTTGTGTGTTGATGTCGGCAATTATGTTGGTAACAATGTCAGTACTCATATCGGCGATTGGAGCCGTGGGTGTCAGCTTTGCGCAGTTGCCCAGAACGTCATCGGACCAAAACGCATCGTCGGTAGTGTTCGCGGAGAGAGCAGCCCATCCAAAATCTCCGATATCATCGATAGTATCTGTTGGATCGAAAGCGCTAGCTGATCGGCGATCATTGAGCTCCCTTGTGCTGGTTGTAATCGCCGCCTCAATGCTTGAATTATCTAGCGGCGATACTTCAGAACTATGTCCCGTAGGACATAATTGCGGACTCCGAAGCTGCCGATATCCATTTCCTAGGTAGGGAGTTGGCTTCGACAAAGGAGAGTAGCAGCATAGCCAATTCCGCTGCTCACACCGGGAGCAACGGGGCTGTCTTCGGTCACAGGCTAACTTAGACGACCGGCATTGGTGGCAAGACTTTCGACGGAAGTTGGGCATTGTTACGCTGCGCCTGGCGGTGCCTCGAACCGTTTGGCTTCAGGGTGACAAGCCTGGCTAGCCGAAAAAATCTACTACGGACCTGGAAGAGCATCGGCAATGTCGTAGGGATCGTCACGTGTGCAACCCCGTGATTCTAGAGGTGGCCCCCAAGCCCATCGTTTTTGCTGACTCTCTGTCATGCCAATGAAAGCAACTTCATCCCACTCCATACGTCCATTGTTACGGATGACCCCTTAAATCGTAAGAAGACCAATCGTCGTAAGCGTGTTTATTGAAGTGTTCGTTCGAGGCGGGGTGTTGGAATCTTTCACGCAGATAGGCCGTGCTAGTCCGGAAATGCCGCTTCAGTTCGTCTTAGCAAAACCACTGCCACTGTCTGCCGCCCGCTTCGGCCAGACAGAACACATCATGAAACCAGGCCCAACGTAGGTACTCAACATACTCAATATACAGGTCGAGTTACTATCCACAGCACAGGGATTCCGGGATATCAAAAGTGGAACACATCCCTCCGTCGTCCGCAGTCGTCGGCCGGTGGGTTCAATCTCGGCGTTTCGTCACGCATGATTGGTCCTGCTTGAAGCGAAAATCCGACCGCAGCAGCTTGATGCACAGACTCGCGGCTTTTCAAAGAGCTTTATGCTCGTTCGGCTGCGCGAAAAGCCAAATCTTCTTGCGTTTACGTAGATACTAATGACTTGTGATAGGGCGAAGGCACCGCTGCGAATGGATTGAATGGAGCTCATCAACGTTTCGCGCGCAATGGCATCAGCTCCGAGCTTCCGTGGGAGAGGCCACTAAAGTCCGCATAGATCATTATAAGAGAAGCACGAAGTGATGGCATGACGGGAGATTTGATCTGCATTCAAACCATCATACTATCAAAACAAAGAAAACTTGGCATCCTTTCAACAGTAATCTAGTGTTATTTACATCGCCTTCGCCCTCTTCACGATGACTGCTATCGACTCAATCGCTGCCAAGTACAAAACTGAGCGAGACAAGCGATTCATCGCTATCTCTGACAAACATGGAGACCGCCTCAACTTCAGAACGAGTTCTTTGATGAACGATTTTAGTCATGACCCTTGGGTCGACTACGACGCCCTTGCCAAGGAAACTCCGCCTTTAAATAATGGCTCCGAGGTCCGTTTCCTCGTCCTCGGTGCCGGCCATAACGGCATACTTTTTGCCTACCAGTTGGTCGCGGCTGGAGTCAGTCCGGCCGACATTGTCATTGTAGACGAGGCTGGCGGCTTTGGCGGCACCTGGTACTGGAATCGTTATCCTGGCCTGACCTGCGATGTTGAGGGCTACTGCTACTTGCCACTCCTTGAGGAGACAGGATTCATTCCGAAGCATCGCTATTCCAAGGGTCAAGAGATCCGTCAGAACGTTGAGCTGATTGCGGAAAAGTATGGAATCAAGGGTATGTTCTGCACCAAGGCAAAGGGCGCCAAATGGGACGACGTCCAGAAGCGATGGGCTGTCACATTGAGCCGTAACCTGAGCCAAAAATATCAGCATCTCAATGGCGATTTTGTCGTCCAGGCACAGTTTCTCATGCCCGCTGGCGGCCTCTTCTACTCGCCCAGCGTACCTGATGCTCCTGGTCTCGGCGTATTCCTGAAAACCCGGGAAATTTTCCACACGGCTCGTTGGAACTACGAATATACCGGCGGTTCTCAGATTCAACCTGACTTGGTCAACCTCAGAAACAAGAGAGTGGGTATCATTGGCACCGGCGCAACGGCTGTTCAGGCTGTTCCCGAGCTGGCCAAATGGTCGAAGCAACTCTATGTGTTTCAGCGCACGCCCTCATACTGCGGACCAAGAAAGCAAGTCGAGACAACCCCGGAGAGCTGGGACGTTGTAGCTGGCCGGCCAGGCTGGCAGGCTGATCGCATGAGAAACTTGAACAAGTTTCTCAACGACCACCCAGAGGTAACTCCTGCCGATGACCTCCTTAAAGACGGATGGAGTAATGCACGCACGTTCTCTGGACTCATTGGAAGCCCCCGGGCGAAAGATATCACCCCCGAAAGCGTTCCTCAGCATCTCCAGCGGATGTTGGAACTCGACGCGGGAATCTCAACTGAGCTCCGCAAGCACGTCGAGCGCGAGGTGGACGACCCGGAACTAGCTGAAAAGCTGAAGGCCTGGTACCCTGGCTGGTGCAAGCGTCCGACATTCCACCAAGATTACCTCAAGTCTTTCAACCGCCCCAACGTCACGCTCGTTGATACCGATGGTCAGGGTATCTCAGGCTATACTGACAAAGGTATCTTGGTCGGCAAGGGCGACCTGGCCAAGGAGTATGAGGTCGACGTTCTCGTACTTGCGACAGGTTTTGCAACGACGACTGCCGTCAATGGAGACCCAGCACAAGTCCTTAACATGCCAATCCGGGGCCGCAACGGCCGCGATCTGACGGAGAAATGGCAAAGCGACGATTTCGCCACCTTTATGGGCGTGGCTACTCACGACTTTCCCAACCTACTCTTCTTTACCGCCAAGGGTGCCACTGCCTCGGCAAACACAACCTACCCCTACACAGTCGGAGGCAGATTAGTCGCTCACATTGCCAAGACTGCCTGCGATCATGCTTCTGATATCAACAGGGTTGAATTTGAGGTAAGCAAGGAGGCGGAGCAAAGTTACACGGGGAGCTTGAAGCCTTACGCTCCGTGGTATGCCCCTGTGGCATCCTGCACCCCGACATACTTTACAGATTACAAGGATCCCAAGAAAGAGCAGAAGACAAAGGAGCCATCTGTAGGCTTCAGTATGGGGGCTGTGGCTTTCGAACAACTTGTGGACAAGTGGGCGGATGGCAGCTTGGAAGGGTTTGTGGTGCAAGGCTGAGAGTGAACCGTATTTTGCTAAAAGCCCAAGATCAATATATCTTATCACTTCTGTCCCAATTAGATACAAATAAGCTGGTCTATCGTGAAGAATAAGAAATTAGAACGTAGAATCAAGCGATCTAGGTACTCAAAGAAGTGGAGAGCTAGATGGACGCACTGCTCTAAGGAACTTTCATCAAATAAGAGGCAGTATACTTGTAATGCAAACAGGTAATAAGGCCAATTACTAGCGGTGATGATGTTGTAAGTCTTAATTAGGAAGTTTTCAAGAACAATTGAAGTCTAGCATCCTTCAAGCGGTAGGATATTAAGGGGAGTAAGTGAAAAACCACTCAGATTTTAACTTCTTTTCAACTTGACTTTGGTGTATCCAAGCGTGCTATGAATACCTTACTGTGGTCCAACTAAAAGTCTTTTGTCATCTACTGGAACCCTCGCTACTATAGAACTCTCTAATTGATCACATCTCATCTGCACAGACTTTGAACGGGCCAATTGAATGACAATTTTGAGATACAACGTTTGATAGAGTAAGGTACATTAGCACCGTAAGTACTAGCATAACAGCATCATGCTCAATCCTCAAGATAACATTTCATACCATTCTAGTATCACACCTCTTGATCGCTACAGTGTACACATAAAACAACTGATCGTGTTCTGAGGCACTCGTCGTTGCTGGGACAACGCGGGACGCTAGGGGGTTTTATAAAAGCACTTGCCTAGCTTGGAATGAGAACAGTAAACGATTATCGAAGGTATTAAGAAAGAAAGTGACTCACAGAAATTGTTATAATGTTTGCCACTGTGAGCGCGGTGTATGTAGGGGAAGCACAATTGGGGTCTTTAATAAGGTACGGAGTAGTCAAAACAATCTTCCTGGCTGTGAGATCTTCTCTAGGATAGGTCGAAATATCCTTTCTTCCGCGTCGATCGTAACACGCAAAGAAAGTTCATCCATGAGCTTAATCTTGCAGTGCGCTTAAGCAACTGTCCATTTGTTGGGACATGCTTCGAGTCTGGAGCGATAATCCAATCGCGCGGGGCGCAGCGACGCAAGACATTGAAGCACCCAATGAACTTCCAGCTTTGCTGAAACACCAGGTCAGACCAACATTGTGAATGTTTGGATGAAACAGCCCTCCAAGCGCGTCAGCTATCAATACTAGTGCAATGGGTGATAATTCAAAACAACACTTGTCACAGGCGAGTTTGCGCACAGCCCTCCCCAGAAGAAACCAGCAGGAAACTAGCGCACGGATAGTTCAACCAGCTGAATAAAGATAGAGAGTTTTCCTTGCAGGTAAGCCGGCGGTAAATGTTGAAGCTCCATCCGACCACCAAGCTATCTGCATGCAATATCACACACAGAATGTCTTCAACCCCCGAATATCAGCCTTTTCTCAAATACTCGGACGACCCGACGACGGAAGAGCCTACATCACCAAGTCGGCCATCAACCCGTCGGAACGCGCTTTTCTCTCACATACTTGTACTCATAGGCACCTCGCTAGTATGGGTACTGATTTTCTTTCTGTTCTTTCCGACACCAGCCGCGACGACCGCGTCCCATGACGCTGCACTTTCCCAACCATCAGCTTCGTATAACTCTGGCCAGCGACACAACATAACCACTGGCAGAAAAAGAATCTCTTGCGGCAACACGACAAAAGAGGCAAGGGCCAAAGGCTGTAAATACGATGTCCTGTTGAATCACTGGGTCCCAGCTCAGTGCTTTGACAAGGACTCGGTCGACGAATATCAAGAAGATGCTAGCTGGGGTGCGTTCGCGGATAAGAATATGACGCAGCAGTTGACCATCGATGAGATGTCAGAAAGAGACTTTTACTGGACGTCAATTCGGGATCATATCAACCACTGCGCTATCATGTGGCGGCGCCAATTTTACGCCCTTTACGACGAGCGGGCTGCAATTGACACCATTGTCACTAGCCCTGGGCACACTGAACACTGCTCACAGTATCTCATGGATGCCGTGGATTCGAAATGGAAGGAACCGACGAAGACAATGAGAGGGTTCGCGGGTTGCTGGGTACGCGAAACATAGTTCTTAATGCGACGTATAAATCAAATTCCAACTTCAAGCAGGCGAGGGTCACCGCGTGGGTGTAGAGGTTGAATGATGGAAATGAATAATTATGCTACTTATGTCTGGTTTCCATTGGTTTAGCAAATTTACAACATGCATTAGGGTTCAGCCTCAGTGTCTCTAACGAGCCCCCGGAATTCGGTTGAACCTGACGTGCGAGACATGTTTGCAGACTTGGGTAGTTGTTATGAGTATAGGTACTTCATAATCGAAATCATGTCTTGGGCTGTTTTGTTATGGGTGGTGTTGAATTGAAATTGCCTGCAGGCAACTCGTAGCGAGACAAAAAATACCCGCCCGGACTCAGAACCAATCCGCTATCAAGTGGTCTTGGGAGTCTTACAAGTTGCCTGGTGGATAGTTCGTAAGACTTGTAAGACTTTCTAGTCTTGGAATATGTTCTGCCCACTACGGTGGCCTGGTGTATACATGATTCACTGGTTCTGCCTCAGCGTCCAGATTCTCATGCGAGTGCTGTATCATTGTTGCTGACCAAAGTCCAAGAACTTCTATTATCATCAATCATTTCCGTTCCATCAGCTCCTGCTCTGTTTTCCGACAAGGCTGTAAAGCATGGCCCAGGCAGCATCGACACTCTCTGGGATATCCACATGGACTACAAAATCTTTCCCCTTTGGCCCATAGCCTTCTCCGTCATCCCTGAGGCGAGGAATCTCCCCCATAAGTAAATCAACAAATCGGCGTATGCTCCACATGCCACCTGACGTCTTATGGGCGCACCCCTCGTCATCAAATACAAGTTGAGCCATGACATCCTTGTCAACAAGGCCCTTCGAGTTGTCGATGAATTTTACTTTGGGGGTGAATGTGGGCCAGCTCTTCATCTGGGGTAGCACATCACTTTCTCCATCGTATGCCCTTTGGAAGGTGGCCACCGTTCGCCTTGACATCGTCGGGTCTTGCACTATGACAATGGACCTCGGACAGTAGACTCCACAGGCCTCGAGGACTCGTTTTGACTCGGCTGCATTCCCTCCACAATTTGTAGAGCGGTCTTCGACTACAACCAAAAATTTGTTCGTATCATTTGGCTGAATTGTTGCTTCCACAGTTCCGACGTCATGGGTCTGGACTCCGTACCAGCGCTCAGCTATGAGCTGCAGTACACGCGATTCAGCCTTTCCTTGCACTTCATCGGCAAGCACGCCGTAGACCGGATGGTTGCTGATCGCTTCATAGAGAAATGGCGTCGAGTGACCGATGCCACCACACAAGACCAGAACTGTGTTTCTTCCCTCTCTAAACACGGGTGTCAGCACTTGTTCAAGACGATGTACTTAATCGCACAGGATCGTGGCATCTGTATACTTGGAAATTTGTTCTTTTGAACTCAAACCATTCGTAGTCACAGCTGAGAAAACTACATCCGCAAGTGACAAAACAGAAGAGGCACAAAAGACAATAACATCGGTTGCTTGGTGCTCTTCTACTTTGCTCGGGGCAGCAGGGTCCGGGAGAGAACGGAAGAACTGGTTGAGACCGTTCACATCTCTGATCTCCTCATTTGAGAGAAAAGAGGAAAGGATATTGATTGAGTAAGCAGCGTTGGCCATTGAAGCGAATTGGCTGGCATTGAGCATGATGACAGGAAGAGAGAAATGTGCGTCGAAGATATTATCTTAGGTAATGAGGGGGTGAGACATTATTAGCTGCTTACGTAAAGTGAATTTCCATCCAGCTTCGGATGCTCGCAAAACCAGGTGTCTTCATACATTATGCGCATCAACGAACTTCATAATCGGTTTGCTCATACCTTGCTTTACCATTGCATATCCGGAAATCGTCCACTAGCCTTGATGTTGTGAACGGCAGTCCGCAAACCTTCTGGGGGCAATCAAAACTAAAACACCTCCCCAAGCTAAGATCACTTCCCTACATCTTCATTTGACAATCAACATGGAGGTATTATAGACTACAACAAAATAATGACGCCATTAATTCCTCTTGCAGCGTCTTACAGTTGTGCAATATTACACGACTGAACACATAACACGCCGGATGATAGGGGTGTGCCGCTTTCTTATAGTACACAGAGCATACTGCCTCATGCTGTTACATGAGTCTGATCGGCGGAATTTGACAGAATTGGCTGCGGAGTTGATCTGACGAACCTGATTTTGGAGCCCAGCAACTCCGCAGGCCGTTGACCATCTGTGGATCTTTCTACGCAAGGTCCATACATTTCCGCTAATCACTTCAACGTGCAAGCAGCTTTCGCTTGCCAAGGAGCTCCTTTTAAAGTATGACACGAACGTTTCAACGCGTGGAGGCAGTCGGACTTACATGGAGTTCCAATGTAGATGAACGATTATGAGACAGGTACGGAGTAATGGTAAGGCCAGAACATGCTTCTCTGTGGCATCAACAACTCTACTCCACGAGTGCTTTCACCTAACTTAAAAACGTCACAATTCTTGTTCAAATCATTCGAGACTAACAATCTACCTACATCATCCTCTTGTTTCATCAAGTTCTTGAATCTAACGCTCACTCCAAAATTGGCACCATACTCTTTATCAACCTTCTCCGCCATGGCCTCCCCTACGTCAACCCAAAATCGTGCAGTTTTTCTCCAGAGCGTGGAAGGCATGAAAACCCTTAGGGCAGAAATGCAAATTCGCTCAATCCCTGAAGCGACACCCGGAAGTGTCGTCATCCGCGTTCTGGCTGCGACTGTAAGAGCCAACTCGCCTAGAATCTATCGAGACCCGCAAAGCGGATATCCGCTGCATTTCCCCCTCGTCCCAGGACACACCGCTATCGGAAGGGTGTTTAAGATCTCTTCGGATGTCACCATTCTGAAAGAAGGCCAGCTTGTCTTCTTTGATCCCTACATTCAGGCACGTGATGGGGGTGGGTTTTATGTCTCAGCCATGATGGAAGGATTAACTCCCGAGAGCTTCAAGCTGTCCCGCGGAGATTGGCGGGATGGAACGTACGCAGATTACGCCAAGCTGCCGATTGAGAACTGTCATGTTCTTGACGATAGCCGCTTATTGGCTAGTAAGAGCCACGGTGGATTGGGCTATACTATTCTAGACTTGACACATCTATTCAGCATGCTCGTTCCATTTGGGGGGCTATCAGATATAGGTATCAAGCCAGGAGATACCGTCCTAATCGCCCCAGCAACTGGTCGCCACGGATCTGCCGCGGTACATCTCGCCTTAGCATTGGGTGCACACGTTGTAGCGATTGGCCGGAACCACGGCATTCTCTCAAAGCTTGCCGCAATGAACCCTCGCATCTCGTCCGCGACTATCACCGGGGATACTGCACGGGACACCGACACTATACGCAGTGCATGCGGTGGTCTGGCTGATGCATTCTGGGACATGTCACCGGCCACAGCTGCATCCTCAACTCACTTTAAGAGCTGCCTCGAGGCACTCAGGATCGGGGCGCGCGTTAGTCTCAGTGGCGGCGCACCGCTTGATGTGAACTTTAGCTACGTTGACATACTCTTTCGCGCGCTTACTGTCAAAGGCACGATGATGAGTACTCCAGAACAAACGAGGCGACTCATCAAACTTGTGGAAAGCGGCATCCTGCCACTTGGGGATAGAGCTGGCATGGGTCCAGTCAGAGCGTTTGCGTTGGAAGCTTGGGAAGAGGCTTGGGATGCCGCAGATCAGAGGAGAGAACCCGGGGAAATCGTTATTACTCCTCAGGCACCGAAATAGATTGATAACAAGATGCATGGTGTATGTTGACAAAGTCAATGGCTCCTTCCTGTTTATGATTCACAATTGGTCATCTTTATGTTCCTTTGTGACTCCTGACATAGTGTCGACTTTTAGCAGTTGCCAGTATTAGTATCTACTCACAAATGGAAAACTTCAGGTACTAGAGACTATTGTTGAGCTATTCTATTTCTCTTATGCCTTGAAGAGATAACGGAGGGAGTTCATACATTATTACTCACCATAACTCAACTTATAGAAGTATATTAGATCAAGCAGTTAGTTAAGGAAACCCGGCGTTTGAAGCTCGGATCTTATCTGTGCCAAGCCCGCCAGCAACGTCCGCCATCGCTCTGTCGCAACCCGCGGGCACTGGCCGGGGGCTAAAGAGGCATCCCACAGGCTTGATTGATCATATCCCACCGGCTGCACCAGACTTCAAAAAGACAAACTACCGGCGCACATACGCAATATGTTTCCAGGGGCATATTGATCTCTTTGATCTAATCAAAGCATTGTCCCTCAAGTTAAACTCAACCTCATCTCAAATCTCCCACTGCCGACCGTTCCGGCACCATGGCACAAGACAAGACGAAGGAAGTTGTGAGAGTGATCGACGCACCAATCGCCGACATTTGGGCAATAATTGCAGCCTTTGGTTCCGAGAAGCTTTGGTTTCCCAATGTTATCAAGTCCAGTCTTGAGGGATTCGGTATTGGATCAGTTCGCACTCTGACCTTCAACAACGGCCATGTGGTTCATGAACGATTGGAGATAGCCGATCCGGAGACACACACCATCACCTACCTAATTCTTGACGGCGTCCCAAACACGACGAACCCCCGCGGAACGCTGCAATTGACAGCCGTAAGCGAGGACAAAACACAATTCAGTTGGTCTGGCGCTTCTGAATGGACGGAGCCAAGCTTTCAACCGGTTCTTGCCGGAATGTTGGAGGAGATGTTTAACGGGTGCATGGATGCTATTGAGTCCATTTTCAAGTAGCTGGGAGGACAGCCGTACATGACTTGGTTATTAAACACCTATGAATACATTAAAATATGAAGGCCTCTAGGCGACTAAGCGTATGGGACTGAAAAAGTAGGAATGCAAGCGTTTAGAAAGTTCTCCTCCAATAACTGACCATCGTACCCACTGCCCATTGTCCATTAATACACTCCTTCGTTTCAATGATGCCTAGCGTCCGACGCAGCATTCCTTACGTCAACATGTGGATTGTTAACTTTTGAGCCAAGTTCTCTACTTTTCTGCAGGGTGCTAATCATTGTTCAATTGGCCTAATTCCTGCGCCCGCCCTTTTTGCCCTTCTTGCACGGACTTTCGTCCACGGGATCTGCGACTGAACCCAAGTTTAGCGACTTTCATGTCTCACTTGGCAGAGCTTGTTATAAGAGCATCGTTTCCAAACCTCAAAAGCTTGGCAGCTTCGTTGGTCGAGTTTTCGTCATGATAATAGCTCCCACTGATAATAACAAAAAAGTATGTTCAATTGCAAAGATCATCTAGTAAATCTAGTTCGTACCTTGACCACTCTCGATAATCTTCTTGAGGCTCTCATATGCATTCTCCAACAAGTTCATTTCACCGGGGCTGTTCTGGGTATAGCGGGCGTTGTACTTCATGATGCTCTTCGTCTTCAGGTAGGTCGCAATGTCGAGGGGAATTGGGCTTCCAACAACGTTCCACGCAATGGACTCGGTGCAAGGAGGGGTTGTGAGAGAGCCTGTGTATCTTTGGCACAAGTTAGACTGAAGCTCGAGGAAGCTTTTAAGGATTGGTAGATGGAACATACTGGTAGATGGTGTTCTTTGAGATATGCTGAGCCAGGCTGGTAAAGTCCAGAGGTCCAGTTGCAGCGTGTGATCCGAACTCGGTGACCTTGTCAACGTTCTTGAAGACGGCGGCCAGGAGGGGGTCCGACTTCTCGGCGACCTCGATAGGAAAGCCAACGACAGCGAGAGAGGATCCTGAGTGACAATTAGCAATGTCCGAGGGGATTGCGAGGAGTCAAACATGGCGAGAACATACCGTTTCCTATCTCGGCTTCCCAAACGAAGTGAACCTCGAGGGGGAAGTGCTCGCCGTTGATACGGTGCTCACTAGGGGTGTGGAAGTGGAATTGACGCAAGTTGAAGGTCTTGCCGCCATTCTTCATGGTGCCGTTTGCGCGGACCTCCAGGAATCCAGAGAGATTCTCGAGTTCACCTCCCTCGGGGTGCTGGTCCGGGCTGAAGGTGATGGTAGAGCCTTTGATCTGCTTGGTGTTTGACTGTTGAACGTTGATGGGAGACTGGCTTCTTCCCAGAGCACAGGCAGAGTTGTTGGAGCTGATGGAGTGCCAGTTGAGGGGGCCATTCAGACCATCGAATCCGAAAGTACCATCTGCTCTTTTGAAAAGCTGATCCTTCTTGAAAAGGCTGGTTCCATGGTGGCAAAAGGCGGCGACCGCAGGAATGAGGGAGAGTAGAGTGGCAGACTTCATGATGAGAATGGAGATTGTTCAGAACGAGCGATTGTATGGTAGAATACTAAAAGAGTGACTGGTTCTCAGTGAGAATGAGGTGAGATGTGAGTGACTCTTTGAAACATCAGATTAGACAGCGGCAGATCTAAAGGTAAATATACACCAGCACTGCAGAGTGGTAGTTAATCGTAAGGAGCGGGAAGCTATGACAATGAGATGCGATATTAATTTCATGGAGCCATGATGGCACCAATCTGCGTAGAAAGCAACGTCTTGGCAGGTTTACCTGGTCAAGCTGCAAGAAACCCAAGCCCCTTTGAGATCTGGCAGGCTTCTGCCAGCAACCTGCTCGAGGATGGAAAGGGCGGACCTCTTTGCGAACACGTGCTTGGCAATGATCAATCGCGGACGGAACCAGGGGGGATACTGGCAGGGATAAGAGTCAGGACATGGGAAACACATCACGAGAACGGAAGGAGGCCCTCTCCACGCCCGGATGAAGTCAGGTCCAGGAAGCACCGCGAACGCTGCTGCGAAGACAACTGGAGAAGGACGCCGAAAGATTGGCCGGAATAGGTTGTCATCAAAAAGTCAAACTGGCGAGCGCTTGGCGCAAGGCGTCGCAATGCTAGTGGAGGTAGGTATTACGGCGTTATCCCGCGTGAACACCACATCCCGCGATATTGAGTAGACACGTTAGTCTTGGCCAAATAGTAGATGGTGAAGCTTGGCCAAGACGAAGAGTGATGAGAGGATCCTCCAAGGGCTCCAGTTCAACAATGCTAGAGACCCAGCTTTGGCGTCGAACGCAGAATGTCGAGGAGACCCATTCGGCGCCGACGCATGTCCGTGAGCGGCTGACTCGCCTTGATATTAGTGGCCACATGTTCATTAACCTCTGTCAGCCATGTTCAAGAATAGCCGCCGCTCGCTGGGGTAGGCTCAGGCAAGTGTTCCTTAGTGATGAAATCGTCCGAACTCGCTACAGCGGACTTGCGAACACCGCACATGGCAGAGAAGGAGTAGGGCGGAGAAGATGGGACTGGAATTCGGAAGATGTGAAGAGCACGAGCAGCTGCCAGCCCGTGACAGTGGTGGGGTTACTAGTTAGGACCGTTGGTGATGCGACGACGCTGACGCCAAGGATTGGGGACAGGGCTCCGGGGTTCCCAGAGCGCGCGCCTTACTCGGTGCGGCAAATGTAGAGAGGCCCATCGTGAGTTGAGGTGAGGGCTAAGCGGTCGGCGTAGACGCATGTAAAATGCGCTCTGCCTGGTTGATGCTGGTCAAGATAAAGTTTAGGGCCCAGAAGAACTATGCGCCTGGGTCATTATGGCTCTTTTGATTGGAGCCTACGTCGCCAGAGATGAACCCGCAGGTCGGTCTCTGGCGAGCCAAGAGTCTCCAAGACTGAAGGGGGAGGGGCTCGCTCGTGGACGTGCATCTTTGGCACACAGCCACGTTGCCTTGCGACCTTACTCCTGTGTACTGTGTAGGCAGTGTTGGATGGCCACTGCACCACGCCGTAAGGTAGACTATAGCATATTGGGCCTTAGCATACCGGTGTCCTGGTTCGGCAAACGTAGGCGAGGACTGAAACTAGCCTTGCCCGCCATGTGTACGGAGTACAGCGTAGGTATCCGTATGGAGAACCTACGGTCCTGTGCTTGAGCCTGGAGCCCAAGACGATGATATTAAATGTTGCCAAGGCCATCGCAAGCCATCTTGGCCCATCTCAACAGCCACGAATGCTTTGTCTTGGCAAATATATAGCTGCGGCGTTTTCTCGATGGCCCAAGAAAAGTCCAAGACTTACCCAAGACCTCCCAAGACCCGGGGCCATAACCGACATTCTTCATCGGGCATGGCGGCGCCGTTTCTCCGTGGGTTGGAGCGGGCGTACCGACACCTTGGAACAGGAACCGGGCGGCACATCTGAGCACTGACATGCGCCAGCGGCATGTGTCTCACTCTCGAATAGCAACGCCTGGGAACCGCCTGGGATTCTCGTATCCGCCCATTGGTTCGTTGTTGGATCCTGGCCATCCCCTGATGCTTGCGGGTACCTTCACACGAGACGAAACTGACTGCTTGCGGCTGTGTAGGCATTTGTATGTACGTGGTAAAGACGATGTGAAGCAGAGTAGGTAGCCCAAATTATCAATCAAGATCTCACTGGCTCCTGATGCGCACGGCTTATCTCTTAGATCAGAAGAAAGAAGAGCAAGCGATCCTTGGGTTAGGAAGAAACTTTCATCTATTCCGTCATCAGCCAAGGCTTGCGAAAGACAACATGCAAATACCTTCGCGAAGTAAAGTAGCTAAGGTACGCTTCATCCCAAGGTCTGGGAATACTTGACAATGGCTTTACAGACTTACTTTCAGCGTGCACTAATTGTAATACTCGACTAGTCTCATCCTCGTTCATCCCAACAATCCATCAATCCATCAGCAGCTCCCCCGCTACTTACAGTACCTTACCTTACATACTATGTACACTATGTACACTACGTAGTACAGTCCCAGAGTCTCAGAGTGCAAAGTCGAGAGAAAATAGCCTGCCCAGTGCAGCTTGCCGAGATCCCTAGCGTGCAATAACGTTTATGTCTTGGCACACTAAATTCAGGACTGCGGCACTGCGACAGATGAGGGCCGCCACGTAATTGGTTGCATTGATCGGGCCTTGACTCCAAGGTTTCCGTGCAGGACTCCAGGCGGACCAGGCCCCAAGCCCAGGGGACAGCGGGCGGCGGGTGGACCTTCTGAAATCTAGAATTCTGGAGAGAAAAACATTATTCCAATTTTCAATCTCCTCCCACATCTTGGCTTGGCGGCGCGGGTTCCTTCCACTTGGAAATAGGTCAGGAGGGCATTCGTAATCCAGAAACACCTCAACGCTTCCCATCAGTCATCCAAGCTGTTTAAAGAGAACAACACAGCTCAGCGGGTTGCAGGCTTGGACTAGCCCAGTCGGCCAAGCCCGAATCCTCGCTCATCCTTTCAACTTCAACAACACAACATACCAGACCCGTCCTTGGCAAAACTCTCACATTCACACAAACGGATACGGATATACACACTCACACACATTCTCATACCTATTTCCGCCCTGGTTATCCATGTCGCTCTCCCTGTCTCCTCTGCTCGACGCACTACCGACGGACTTTGTACCCGAGTCAAGCGGACTTGTCCACCCCCGCCCAACTGTCACTGCCTCGCCTGCGTCGTCCATCTGGAGAGATCTCCCCGAGGCTGTATTTCGCCAACACGTCGTTGCGTTGGAGAAGCTGACCAACGCTGTTCCTGTCGACGCCAAATCCTTCCCGCTACCATCCCAACTGACGGCTTCTTCTGACGGGTTCGCGGGAGCTCGTGCTAAAGTGCTTGCAGATGGCTCTTCAGAGGCCATTGTGACGGATGTCCATTACCGAGAGTCCGCGGAGCAACTCAGAAATCCTCGTCCCCGCCTGTTGACAATTGCCACGGAACAACGCCTGGCAGACGATATTGCCTACCTTGTCGCCGTTGGAGAAGGAGCGCAGTCCGTTGCTGCTGCCACTGTCCAGGAAAGTCGCATAAAAGTCGACGTTGCAACAGGAGGCCTCGATGGAGGCCCCAATCAAGATCAACAAGCGCTCCCAGCAGCAAGTCTCAAAGTCACCATCGCCTCCGCAGATGCGATCGAGCCCAACTCCCAGGCTTTCCTACGCTCTGTTTTCCAGATACTCTCTGCCCCGCCGCTTGCCAAGCCCTTACATAGCCTCTTGGACCTGGTCATCCGGCATCATCAAGCTCGCCTTCTCAACCGTCTTCGATCCGCTAAGTGGAAGAAGCCAACCTATCTCTCCCGTACTCACAAGAAACCCCTGTATGCCGACTTCGCCAACCTCATCCACCGTGCACAGTTCCTTTACTCCAAAAGAGAATCAACCGCGCGGGCTGAGCTAGAAAGCCAACTCTCGGAGATGGCCGCCCTGCTCGAAGCTTTTGAGACGGAATCAGACGACCACGAGAAGCTAGTCGAAATCGCTAAGTCTAGCTACCAGCTTTGCGCGTCACCCCTGATCGCAAATTATCTCGAACGCTTACAAGCCATCAGGGCAACAGCGCAAATTCAGGCTTGTCTCAAAACCTTGCGTCAGCTTGAAAAGATCGCAGCCTACTATCGCATATGTCAAACTCTGACTGATTTGTCCCACACACGTCCAATAGTCTTCAACAGCGCTAAGCTCGTTTTCTTACCTCCTTACGAGGCAGTGCCTCTAACTCTCGCCTACCAGCCGTGGGCAAAATCTACCCACGTGCATGCAGAAGTCATTCTGTCTGTACATCATGACTTGGAGAAATCTGACAGTCCTTGGCACAAGCCAAGATGTCTAGGCGCCTCCAAGTACTTTTGCTACCTCTGCTTCTTGTTCATCCGACATCATGGGACCTATTTTGCGGCCAATACGCACGGGGCTTGCTACGACCAATGGACTATCCCAGACCTTGCGGACTATCCTCAGCCCCTCGCAGACCACTACAGGAAAGTTGTGCGAGCAATGGATGAGGAAGTTCAACATCAAACGCATGGCGCGACATGGAGACCGGAGCCGATGACGAGCCGGGAGAACTTGATAGGACTAATAGACGGATAGATTTGATAACATGAGTTCTGCCCGGGCCTAATCTGATCCAAAGTGTTCCAGGTCAGACTTTTGCCCAGACTAGTCCCACTACGCGTGTTTGCAAGTCATGACTCTGCCGTTTACGTCGATTGTTTCGATGACACAGCGCCCGCTTGAGGTAGCCACGATTCAGGCACGCTCGAGCCCCGGTCCACCCAATGGATTTCTGCTGGCTGATCTCTGCAAAGGCAGTGCCCCTCGATTCGAAATCGAGCGTGTGAACTCCGCAATAGCGAACTGGCGCCCGTTATCTACAAATGCCTGTGGGAAAGTCAGGCTTGCCATTGGCATTGACGAATTACCTACGCAATATCCATCATTCACTGACCACGCCCCTGAGCCCCTTCTTACTCAGAAGTCGAAACCATGCCACCCCACTCTCTCGCCAGCATACCCATTAATACTGATAAGAGAGCCCTGTCCGATTCAGCTTGCGCTTATTGAGAATATAGTACTGGACATTGGCCCAAATACCACAAGCCGCAGCGGCAGTAGTAAGGCCTGTTATAACTGTCCATCCATTGCGATACTTCGGTGCATCCTCTTCTCTGAACAGCTGCTTACCAACAATACCTGAACAGTTGGCAGCCATAATGAGGATGGCCATGGTGATAGAACGTTCACCGGCGGACTCAGCGTTAGCCGAGACCCAAGCGCCATTGACAGGATCTGCAGTGTGCGTCAGTTACGTGATTCGCCATTTAAAGACGGGAATTTGAACCTACGCCAAGGAAACGAGAATGCCGTTGACAGAGTCAACATGGCAAATCTCGCGTCGCGGCCGGCATCTATGAGCAGATAGTTGCCAAGCTGTGTATTATTAGCTGGGAGCTTCGCCAAGAAGAAGCACACGATAAAACATCAACTAACATTGAAGCCCCAGAATATGAATAAGCCTAGGAACACCCATGGACCACGGACTCTCGTTTTATCGCTGCGAAAATCAGTCATTCTGTTTTGTTTTGATGGTGATCACCTTGGCACAGAAGCGCTTACGCAGCAAACCCCCATAAGAGGTTGATTGGAATCAAGAGCCAAGCACCGACTGAAACCATGGCATTGGACTCCAATCTCTCAAACCCCATCGAGTTCACAAGAGAGGGCGCATAGGATGACAAAGTAGAAGATGGTGCCAGGGCAGCAATAGTGAAGATAACATGGGGAATGAGTCTCCAGTTCGTCAACTAACTCCACGTGAGCGAAAAGTCGGTGACGCCTGTGGTATTAAGGAGTCCAACACGTACCGCTGATCTCAGCTCTGACCAGCTAACCGAGCGCTTCGACTGAGCCTTGGACGGGTCATCGATCATGACTCTCTTATACAAGATCTCTGCTTCCCGTTCTGAGAAATAGCGAAAGCCGAGTATGGATACTGGGTTGTTGACTTGGTTAGGAAAGCAAGCGAAAAAGGCGATACCGACCAAAATTGTGAAAATTCCCTCGAGCTAGCACTCAGTCGTTAGTCTTTCTCCAAATTCCCCTCTTTGTTACCGACCAAGGTAGCATCTTTCCCCTGTAGGCCAAACTCAACTTACGAGAAAGAGCCACTGCCATCCAGCAAGTCCAGCAATGCCTCTCATGTGCAAGCTTAGGGTGCAGACTTTATCAGCTCTTGCTCGAGATCGACGAGAACTCATTGTTTGTGATCGACTTACATCCCGTACGCTATGAGGCCAGAGCATGCGGCAGCTAACATGTTGCCAATGAAGAACCACGAGAACCTTTTGCTCGTCTCATCTCTCTTGTACCAGCGCGTCATCGTGAAAAGAGCTGCAGGAATGAACCCTGCCTCGCAAAGGCTACGAGTATGAATTGTCAGTTTCTTCAGATGATACTTCTTAATGAAGCTATCCGGGCTTACCCAAGGAGGATTCGAGTCACCATGTAAGCACCCAGCCCTTTTTGAAATGCTTGAAAAGTCGCAACCAATCCCCTGTCCACTTGTTAGTATCACTGAAAGGCTATTTCAGTCTTCCTACAAAAGCTGAGGAAGTGTTACCAGGCCACGATCTGTCCTCCAATCCAGAGCGTTGGTCCAATACGGTAAAGAACTAGGTTGCTCGGTATCTACGGGTCATATCAGCTGAATGCCTGAGATAATATACGATGTTCCAGTTCCATCTACTGACTTCCAGAACCACGATGCCTGCAGATAACAACTGTTGGCCAACATTGAATTGGTTCTGTGTGATACCAACATCTTTGAGGAAATAGTCCGTCAAGGCATTGCCACTGCGTTTGGTCAGACATTATTACAATTTAGGTTGATTATGCTTAGGTAGTCTCCGTACATGTTGCCACGGTCGAGCTGTAGAGCAAAGAAAGCGAGGATCAACAGCGGCATGATAATCAAATCAATTCTGTGAGTCTCACAATTAGCTTCAATTATCTGGAGCCAAAGAGCGTATGACTATTGACAAACTTACTTTCGCACCAATTGTCGTTCTTCCTCCGGGCTCCAGTCAATATTGGGATTTTCGCCATCACTCTGACTTTCTGGGCTCTTGACCACCATCTTGACTTGCTTTTCGTCTATTGTGGCTACCATTGTGAAGAGCTGAGAGAATGTGGTAGGCCGTGTTGGTTTCGCAGACGTCGACTCGAAAGCAAAGCGTCGAAGGAGAAACTCAACATGGCAACTTGAACCTTTGTATATTCTCGAACAACTACGGATACTCGGCAATGCCAAAAGGCATTATCGAAAGAAAAAATTGTACCCTGCCCCTCATTGATCCCGGCTTACCTGTTCAGGTCTCGTCTTGCTGTTCCGCGTCCCACATAATTATGTTGCAGCTGTTAAACTCGGACTTCTTGCTCTGACGGAACAGAATGTTGTCATGAACGCAGCATTTCCGTGGAGAACTGAATAAATACCACGCTTCGCAGAGCCAATCTGTCGGTTCGTATTCAAGTTGCCACATGTCTTCTGGGCCGACACTCGGCCGTCTGCCGTCTCGACGTATGGGATGACCCACTCTCGTTGATGCCATCGTCTGGATTGCTCACGCCATCGACGGTGACCCCTTAGAATGCTCCAAACTCACATTTAAGCATCCACCCTCTTCGCAGCTAGGCTTAGGTAAGATACTGACGCAATCGGCTCTCGGGATTGCGAGTGTCCTTGGTGCCAATCGGACGGTCAATTTACTCGGGAGCGGCCGACTTTCCAACTATCACGGCATGCGCATTGCCACCGCGCCCCAGAGCGCGTCGGCCGTGTTCCGACACAGGTGCCTTACCTTAGAAAGTCGCTGTCTCCATATCAAGCGGTCTCTTGAAATGGCTATACATCTTTCTATACAAGCTCAATTTGCCGATGAAATTCCCAAAAGCGAGGAAGTCTCCTTAGATGAATGGGCCGCCTTTCTTTTGGTCGGACTCTTAGACATAGGAAATTTGCTGTTAAATATTGAGAGCACCAACCACTTTTTCCAGGCACTTTCGGACTGCAGGAACATGCAGTCATAGAAATGTCTAGTTCGCAACTTAGAAAGCGCGGAAGAATACCAACCTATATGTCATTTTAGTGTATGACACCTTTTTGTCGCCCGCAAATCAGGAGAAAGACTGACGCGTCTCATTTCGAGGTCAGATCGCGCAATATTCAGATGTTGACTTGCTTGGTAGCACAGAATGAGGGGAGATTGAAATGTTGTTCTCGTAGTTGAAGTAGCGAGGCCTTGTGCTTCAATCAATATATCTCTCGGACACGACATCCAGCTAATTTCAGTTTCAGTCTTCTTTCAGGGACATATGAATTCACTATGTCGAATTTAGAGTCCAGACAGCATGTCTCCCCAGACTCAGGCTTCCCGATCTGCTTGCATCCGCACTTCCATCCCAAGATAAGAGATCATGTACCTCCTGAGCCAGTTCGAGAGGAGAAATTTCCGGAGAAGGATAGGGCATCCTTCGCCGATCCTGAGAAGAAAGCCCTCCTCTCAGCTGCGAAGAGGTTTGATTTGACAGAGTCAATCGGCACAGTATTGGAAAGTGTGCAGTTATCACAGCTCTCTACACAACAACTGGACGAACTTGCACTTCTTGTTACTGAGCGCGGGGTTGTCTTCTTTCGGAGCCAGGACCTGACAACTGATGGTCAGGTTAAACTCTTTGAGCATTACGGCGCTCTCGACCGTCATCCCGCTCAGAAGGATTTGAAGTACGTTGTTATCAAGGGCAGCCGCGAGGATCACCGTTAAATACTCAAGTACACCCCTTGGCCCTCTGGCGACTTCCACGCCGACACATCCTTTGAGATCAACCCTCCATCCTACTCCTTGTTGCGTATGGAGGAGCACCCCGACGTCGGCGGTGACACTGCCTGGGTCTCCCAATGTGGACTTTATGACGCTCTCAGCGACGCCATGAAAAAGTTCGTTGACGGACTGCACGCAGTACACACCTCACGGCTACAATACGACACAATCTTGGACCTGTGGGGTACTGGTCCAAACCGGCCTCCCATCGATTCACACCATCCGGCTGTTAGGACCCATCCAGTCTCCGGTCTCAAGGCGCTGAATGTCAATCCAGGCTTTGTAACCGCCTTCGCTGAGCTCAAGAAGTACGAGTCTGACAAACTTTTGGACTTTTTCTCGTACCACATCCACTCTGCCGACGATCATGCTGTTCGGTGGAAGTGGGAAGTGGGCAGCGTGGCCATGTGGGATAATAGGTGAGTTGGACATAACCAATTCATGTCCTCGTCAACGTTTTCTTTGTCCTGAACTCACCCTGCTTAGATGTACAATTCATCGTGTTATCCCGGGGACTTACGATGAACCGCGTAAGGGTATTAGAACAACCGTATTTGGTGAGAAGCGTAAGTTTTGTCATCGCACTCTGATTTCTTCGTAATTCCATAAGTCTAATGGCACAATTAGCCTACTTCGACGTGAGCAGCGAAAGTAGACAAGAGCGGGTATCAAGATTAAGCACTCAGCCAAGCTGAGGCTTGGTGTAGAGGGCTCAAGAAAGGCCCGTGAGAGCAGACATGCACACGCGATTACATTAGCCAAAGCTCGGAGACACGATGGTATTTCAACTCTCCACCCTCCTTTACTTATCGGCAATCTGAATTCAGTCGAATTCGAACTCTTCTTTCAGTGATTCTAGTATAAGCAATGGACCTGCTCCTTGAAGTCCGTCTTGCGCAAAATACATCATCTATCATCGGCACAATTCCAACTTGGATATCCTCATGATTCTCGCCCTCAATCCAGCACCCAGATCTGGCCCAGTGTAGTACTCAACCAGGCCTTCTCCGGCCCTTCTTTTGTCTCTTCTTCATTCCCGTGTAATCTTCCAGTTGGTATGTACGTGTATCGCAGTACTGGTTTGCTCTCTGGTCAGTTTTCGTTGGGAATCGCCATCGTCATTGCTGCCCGTCTCGTGCTCCTTGTCATTCTTGAGAAGTCAGTAAATCTCTCCCAGCACCTTATAAGCGGCTTTTTGGAAAAATTGACAACTAACCAGTTCTATCCATGCTGTGGACTGACCAGGATTGGGTTGCACCTTGATCTGCCCACTCCGCGATCCCTTGTTGAATGCGCTTTGGCTATTGGAGTTTTCGAGCGAGGAGGACTTGTACTTGGCTCTCCATCTGAGGTAGAAGGGGCGAAGCATAGGAATATTGATGCAAAGACCGGCAAGCATGAGCTCAACCGTGCAGAGCATGAATGTAGTCAAGGAAGTGCCAGTCAAATTGCCAATAAGATCGATGACGTAGATCTGCCAGAATCGAACGATGCCAATCACACAGCATCTTCGCTACGTCAGTTCAACGAGCCATCGATAGCAGTATTGATAGGGGTCAGGTGGATTGACTCACGCTAAGCCGAGAGCGAAGCAGGCAATGACAGCAAGCTTTTCGGTTTTCCGCATTTGTAATTGCCAGACAGTCCAGATAGGTAGAATCACAATGAACAGGTCGGTGATAACGTTTGTCATGATAATGCACTTGAGTACCAGGATCTGGTCCATGCAGTGACCGATTCGCTGTACTGTCCATTGTTGGGAAATCGGATCACAGAGGAAGATGAAGACAAAGGTGAAGACCAAAGCCCATGCAATGACAACGCTGCCAATAAAGAAGATCCACCACTTGAGTTGAACAGAAAAGGCTCTATGATAGAACCAGAGCTGACTGAGCTTCAAGGACGCCAGTGCCCATAGGTAGATAAGCGTGAAAGCAAAAGTCGTCTAGCACACTTTTAATCAGGCATTGTTCGTAAAATGGAGAGTTTGGGAGAAAGTTCCTTTGCCGAAGTAGATTACCTTCAAGATAAACTGCATGTTATTGAGCACTGTCCAACATGGTCAGCGCCTGAACATTCAAAGTGACGATCGCAAGTCCAATAACACCTTCTGGGTTGTTGACTACTTCTTCAATGGCACACCAGTCGCCTTAGAGCATTCACTTACATTTTGGATACACGTCAGAGTCAGGGTCGAAGTTGTATCCAACACCAGACGTAAAAACTATGGTCTCAGTCAGCATCCCATGCTTCCAAACTGGAAAGCCATGCCATTATATACCTGCTGCATTCATGCCTATTGTACTGCCTGATAGAAGCTGTGATTTCTATTAGACAAAGTACGAGACGCAATCATCTATCAGTCGTAACTCACGCAAGCAGCCAAAGCCAAGATATCATCTCCGCCAACGCCAATTCCACGATATCTGCCCCAGAGTCGAGCAAACACTACCGCTGCAAAAACTGCCCATAGAAAGCAGATAGCTATGAGCGAGTCTCTTGCGCTAGTCGTCATCGGGATATACATGGGTGGCGGCGACGCCAGCGTCGCTGGTGTAGCCATCGAGGACAGTATTCGATCGGGGTTTCGGTTTCAACGAGTCGATTAACGGGACATGCGTGATGATTGTGAGCCAAGTTCCGCAGAGTACTTTATAAATGGGAAGCATGGACAACAGATACACTAGAAGGAGATATATTGACGTAGAGTGGTAGTTCTAGCTCATGGGGTCGCAGTAGTTAAAGTTATGACGCTCAGCCAGTCATACTCGGCGATATTTTGTGGCCCTAGCTAGGTTGAATTTGATCATTAATTTCAGCGCTCTGTAGTAGGCAAATCTGGATGAAGATCTCCGGCTTTTCGATTTAGCTGAAGCCGGGAGACATGTTTTCGGTTGCCGAGCTTTAGAGCCCTGGCTCCGGGTGCACCATCTGGTGTCACCAGAACTTTGCCTCGTCCTCCTGTGGACCACCGTTCCCAGGGTTTGCCAAGCCGTGACTCGCGGAGACCCATTACTGATTCTGAAATATGACTGCACTGAAGTTGAAGTAGTGGTTTCCGTTTCTGGGTACTCATTAACCATGACGCTCCGCAAGTCGTGGGACTTTCTGTGCCGGCACTTAGGAGGCGCTCACGGCATAAACTCAACTGACAAGGATTTGACGAAATACGAAGTTCCTCATCTCCTTCTTCTCTTACATGCGTGTGAGGATTGGCGGCTAAAATAGAGGCATAGAGAAGCGGGAACGAAAGAGTGATACTTTGGAATTCGATCAGGGATACTGCTCCTCTGAACTTTCGGGTGGTAATGTCTCGCTTGCATTCTTGATGAATTTCAGGAGGTATATGGAGTACGTACAGATGAATACTCCTTCAAGCCTGTTGATTCTCTGAGCTCCTGGAGCTCGCCGTTTCCCAACCATGGGTAACAAAAATCACGAATGCTTGGCATCCGCTGACCCCTGTATTCTCAATCCTGCAGCGTCTCTCTTCGGTTTTGGCTCTTATCTGTCGCGACTCGCCGGTGACCATGGACTCGCTCCGCTCAGTCTCGCCAGAACGTCAAAAGTTCATGTTCATAACCAAGTTGTGTTATAGTCGGATTGGGCAAAGAGAAGCGGGCTGGGATTAGCACGAGGCCGCTCAATAGGGTGCTCACAAATGACTACGTGTCCGGAAAAATGTTCCAAGCAGTCGATCTTCTCCTCAAATCGAAGTGAAAATCTTCGGTACTCGAATGAAGGTTCACAGATCATTTCTAATGAAGAATCACATCTCGGCAGTCAGGGCCTGCACACGATCAGTTTTCCGAAGGGAGGCTGTCTTAGACTTGAACACATGCTGAAGCAGTGATGCTTGATAGCCATGTTTCGCTAATCAGAAGTAGTGAGATGGCAAGCATTCAGTCACTCAGTGTAGAAATTTTTATCACTTGACGAATCGATCATCGTGCGGGAACCATGACTCTCCATCATGGACAAGATCCATCCATCAGACTCGAGTTTGCCATCAACTTGGAGCAGGCGTCTCTTGATCGCGGGGGCTTTGAGTGAGTGTTTCCCGGTGTTTTTCATCGTAGAAATATCCTCTCAGGCTTGAACACATAATAAAACGGTCCATATGCGGGTGTCCCCAAGTTTTTTTTGACAAACATCGCCTGTTCATATTCAGCGAGAGAAAAATGCTGACCCCGACTGGATGGTGAACCAAGTGTCACAAAGTTCCTAAAGTGGAGAGGTAGTGGATGTGTCTCCATTATCTACCCCCGGTTCGTTCCATTAGGGCTCCCTGTGCGCTTGAAGATCTTCGAAAGATTCGTCTTAGTGCCGTGTGCTGGTCACGTTGCATTCAGGCGGTATCTCTGTGCGTCCCATGGTGATGTCCTGGGCTCCTGACAACCCTGAGTCCTGGCAAGCGTATCTTCAAGGATAGAGCTGTACTCCGTCGCGCGACCGCGAATCACGTTTTCTTCCTCCCACGACTGGAGGGTGAAGGATCTAGATCATGTCGTCTCCATCAAGACTAATGTAAGGTATACGGGAATGATCTTGCTTACGATCACTCTTCTTCCCTAATGCCACTAAGAGCCCCGGTTCAGAGTGTGTCGCCTGCTGCACTTCGAGGGGCTGGCCTAGTCACGGTATCCGTATCCCATCGGGTGCGGATGGACAGCACTTTCGCCAAGACCACGAAATACCCACTTTTACCCATTTTTTCCCCGCGTTGAAAGGGGTACTTGACGATACGTCACTTATCCCTCTGTTCTTTTGCCT